GGAAAATAGACAATCGGCTGATGACATTTACAACATGTGGCCCTTTTTTCGTGATTTTTACCTGTGCGTGCGCAATGACGCAATGACGCAGTACACGCTGCGCTGTCATGTTATTGCGTGTTGTCACATGTTTTTATTTACATTTGCAAAATTATGTAGTTATTTTTGATATAGCTTTGCTTATTGTTATTACTCGGTCTTTCTTAAAAGTGAACTTCCTATTTTACGTCTTAGAAAAGAAAATGTTAAATGTAGGTCACCAAGAGTACGCACTGACCGGGCTGACTCACGGTGCGTTTCTCACCTGCACTTTTAGTGTGTACGCTACACAGAGCAACGCGGCCGCGTAGTACTCCCGCAGGCAACTAGTGTATGAGTAATGCACACAGGTGGCATGCGACGTGTTAACACATTGTTTAAAATTATGAAGCACACTTTAATTATATAGTTCGATATTAAGATAAGCCCCGTACATAACTTTAACAGTTTAACAGTACATTTTGTATCTTTGTTTTATCTCGTAGGTCGTGGTCCTTTTATTTTCTTCTAGCTTTTTTAATTTTCATGTCTCACCAAAGGTTATAGCTGAGTTTAACGGTCGATAGATTTTTTTTAAACCCTCACTAATACGTTTTTGGTTCCCTAACAAAACTACCATTCACTTTTATGTCACACATTTTATTTGTTCATATCTTCATTGGTCTGTAACGTCTGAAAAGGTTTAATTTTTTTTAATTCGCTCTCGATTCTTCTACCCTACTGCCGCTATACATTTATTTTTTTGTACATCAAAAGGCATTAATACAGTTGGAACATCTGAGATGGTATCGGGTGATGAGGTGGCGAGCAAAAAATAAAGACGTGTGCGCACGTGTGCCGCCGCGACCGACATGGCGGCCCGGGGGTGACGTCTTCCGCGTCCGGACACAGCCTCTCCCCGCCCCAACCTCACAACTCTTCTCCTTCCGGCACTGTCCACTTTATTGTGTAGCCCTTAGCTTCGATAAAAGCCTTCTGAGATAAACAAACTAAACTGCAAACTTATGGGTATTAATACATTTTTACCATTGATTGTAAAATGCAAATCAAAATCCGTGTTTTCTATATCTTTTTTGAACGAATTCGTTGCCACAATTAATGATGTGCAGTCTTAACGCAAACCCGTTTACCAAAACTTTCTACTAAATGTCGTATCAGTTCAATTACAAACAGGACACCATCTTGTAATACCGGCCCTGCAGGAAACACCAGCTACAGGGTGCTACAGATAATGGACACAATTACATTGTATGCTGTACGTCCTTGTTATTAAACACGCACACAAACACAAGTTGCCAGCACTTATTATGATAATTTAGTTCTGAGATAAGCGTCGGGGAAACACCTGGCGTGTCCTCTCCCCCTCCATCTCCCCCTGCCCCCTCCCCCTCACCCTGCGCCCGTCTCCTCCCCGGGCGCGTCCCATCCCCTGCGCCTGTAGCCGGCGCGCCGCGTGCGCACCTCGTGCCGCCAGGTGCGAAGGTTTTTTATCCTTTTGCTTTATTTACTCTGTTTGCGCGATGCGCGTCGTGCGATGTGCGTCGTGCGATGCGCGTCGTGCGAGTCACTTGTGGGGATTTTATTATAATTGAATTGGTTGTGCAAACTGCGCTTCATTATTACTTAAGAACATATTTATCTTTAGTATGTCAGTATTTTACATTTTCTAGAAAATCTGAATAAAATCTGCGCTTTATTAAAAATAAATGAAACATTTTAACAAATTTGTGACTAACTCTGTTCACTTTGTACACAATATGACTATGGTTCAGAAGTGTCATAAATCATTATTCAATCTCTTTAATAAACCGTAACTGAAAATAAAAGAAGAGGACTCGGTTTTTGCGAGAGCATTGTGAAGTTAAACAATGCACGAAGGTTGTGTTGTTGTTACAGGAATATTGTAAATTGCATTGAAAATTACAATACATTTTCTTTTCAGTTACAGCAAATTTAAAGTTTTAAAAGCTTTAAATATTATGATACAACCGTATCTAATATTTTTTTTTGTGAAAAAAGCTTAAAATTAGAAGAGTGCATTTTAACATGGACCCTGAATTAGCATAACAAATGGTTCAATTAGTTTATTCATACTTATAAACATGGCAATTAATTTCAATTTTAATGCGAACTACTCAAACAAGTTTACTTTATAGTTAATTTCGTTTGTTTTTCATGATGTTATCTTACCAATGTTATAAATGCGAGAGTTTAGATAGATTGATGTTTGTCAGATGGTATCTCCGGAACGGGACAAGGGATCTTAATAAAATTTGGCATAGATGTGGGACATAGTCTACAAGTATACATAAGCTACTAATTATGATTTTTTCTAAGCCGCTCAGACGGAGTCGCGGGCGACAGCTAGTTTGTACATAATTTGGATGTGTTACAATGAGTGAAGATGTACAGTAAGGGCTTTGCAGTGAGATGTTGTCAGGTTTGCAGCAAACAGCTGCTAGTTTTTGTGCGCTCCCTTATTGTAGGGATTCCTTATAAGAACACGGTCGCTTTTTGTGCGCGGGCGCAGTGCGCGCAGCTGCTTCGTCAGCCCTGTCTTTGATTCTTTGTTACAGTTTATAACTATTCAGTTAAACAGACAATTTACTGGCTTTGGATTTCAGAATAGCCTTTTCAGCCGCTGTGTTATTGGGGAAACATTTTTCTAGTTGAAATCTGTTAATATATGCTTGGGTACAGTTAACACACATTAAAATGCAAAGCAATGAGGAGGAAGAAACAAATAGCAATATTACCTGGTTTTCTTTGTATAGCAGAAAGGACGGGAGTTAACAAGGAAAAGGAATGAACATGAACAGGAAAGGGATGTGCCGTGACTCTCTAATTGTTAAGGATGTACTCTTCGTAAAAGACAATTAGATGAGTTCAGTCAAAGTGCGGCAGATATCCTTTTTAAGACGTCAAAAGATTTTTTGTTGTGTAGGCACAGACAGCTGGGCAGCGTACTGTTGCGATAGCGAGGCTTCGTTATACGGTCACCAACTCTATACTAACACTGCGGATATTACTATATATGTGAAATGTAATTTAAAATACCATCATTAATGTAACCATTGAATATTTAAAAATAGAACCACTAAAGAAATCGATAATACAGCAAAATATAAGAAGAAAGTTACTTTCCATATCTTTGAAGCGCTATATGTGGAGTGCGATAGCTATTTTAAAGGTTTTACCACAAAAAAGGAATACAAATTAATGAATAATCCATAACATTTGGCAAAGCACAATAGTTTGTAGTTATGTCCTCAACATTTTTGATGTATGGTCACCATACAACTAGCGGGTCCGGCACCATCTCGTGCAGGTACCGCTCTTTTGTTCCCATTAATTAGCTGTTGCCGATTTGTGGACCTCCTCCGCACCCCCGCGCACCGCCTCGCCCCGCTCCTCCCCGCACGACTCACTGCACGCCCGCCACATGTCGCCCGCACACTGACTTCACACAACACGACTACAATGTGCTGGGTTATTTACTGCACTTGAAAAAGTTCATGAAAAAGTTGTTATTTCAGTGTTTCTTAATGTTTTTCAGCGTAGCATAACTTTTCAATAACTAATATAATATGTGAATAACGATGTTTGAACTGATGCAATATTACCAATAGTATTGCTTAACTTCTTAATCAATAACAATTTGCATAAGATTCTATGTGACGCGTTTTGCGATACCAATATATTACAACATATCGAATTTCAATCGATTACAAAAAAATATTTGATTTAGATAATTTGAAAGAAATATGAACCCGTATATTATTATATATTCATACTTATTGTCGATATGTTTGGTTTATGTAATTCGTTGTATGGGGTGTGGGGTGCGGGGCGGGCGGGGCGGGCGCAGGTCCGCGGCAGCTGCGCCGGCGGAATGCGCACCTGCCTCCGCCGCATCTCGACCTGTCTCCGCACCTCTGCCCGCCCGCACCCCGCACCCCGCAACACGACCTCACACAACTAGAAGCCCCCTCCGACTGACTAGATATATACCCTGATTATTTTCTATTTAATTTCGAATAAATAAAAACGGTTAAAGTTTAGCAGCAGTTAAGAATTGCAACTTTAGTTATCTTCAGTTCGTCTGTATCGAGGTGAAAGTTGATTGAACTATTGGCTACAATCTCATATTGTCCTTGACTACGGAGTCGCAATGGTCAAGAGGTCGCCGCGCACGACCCATCCCGCGGTGTAACGCCCCACATCCGGCGCTAACTGGGTCACTCGGCAAACGAACCCACAACACTACAAGGACGGACCTCAAAGGTCACAGCCCTTATGAAGTCAATACAATTAGTTTTTAATTGAAATCGATAATACACACAACATGTCACTTTTTAAGCTCGTCTTGTAATATTAGTGTTAAATTGAAATTTTGAAAAAAGTTATAACAGCAACATAGTAATGTTTTTTTCGGTCAGTCCGTTTACCTGGGCACTGTCGTGTCGTGCCGTGAGCAGGTGTGCGATGCCGTCGCGTGCGGGTCCACATAAATACCGCGCGCGGCCGGCACCGCGCCAGTCTGTGCTCTACCTCGTTCAGTGTCGGACCCGTGTTCACTTGTGAGTTGTGTCGTGTCACTCTGTGTCGGTGCCGGAGATTTGCAACATGATCATCTGCCTGTCCGGGTTCGTTATTGCCGGGTTAGTAGTCAAATATTCTTGTGCCGTCATCAATTTTACGTTTTTGCTATATACAAATATATCTAATTTGCTCTTCATTTTATATCTTCTAATAATTGTAATAATATCTTTAGATTTTTTTCGATCTATGGGATTAATTATTGCTTTTATTTGTATAAAGTAATGTTAATCGGTCGTTTGCTACTTTTTATTTAGATTTACAGAAGGAATTAACTTGAGATGTCAAATAGAATCAATAAAACTGTTCGGAGAGATTGTTCACAGTTCTGCCGAATATTAGTTAACAAGAGATGTGTCACTCGGGGATAGTGTAGCTTCCAACAGTGAATGAATTTTACAAATCGGTTCAGTAGCTTATTCAATGCAAAAAAGAATCAATTTTTTCCTCTCTATAGTATTAGAATAGGTAACTGCGCAATGTTTGTAAATAAATTGTGCAACACTTTTGTGTGTTACATTGTGCACTATCTGCATTTTGTTTAAAACATGTTTCGATAATATTGTTTCTTCATCAGACAGGAAAGTGATGTACAATTATAATGAAGCAACTAATGATATGTCATATTCAACTGTTTATATCATAAACCTGCAGAGTATCAAATGTATAAAAAACAATTTTTCCTTTTATTTCAGAACGTCACCTACGTCGCTGTCGTCGCGTAATGATGTTGTAAGTGATATTGTACTTATTAGAAAATGTAGTGAAGTCACAATGTTTATTTAATATAATATAAATGAATTAACTTATGCTGATGTGTGTCTGTGTGTCAGATGTGCAGCGCGACGTACGCGGCGCACCAGCAGACCCTGCTGCAGCACCTCGCCCACCTGCAGCCCCCGCACCACGCCCCGCAGCCCGCACACCTCGCGCACAGAGGTACAGACACGCTTGATGACATACCACGAATACATTGTTGGAGATGTTGATTATGATTAATTAAGAATATTGTTTGTTCAGGTGGAGGCGCGCGCTGCAGCAGCAGCTCGGAGTCGGTGTCCAGCCACAGCGCCTCTCCGCCGCCGCCGGCCAGGTACACATTGTCCGCTTGTGTGAGGTGTGGAGATGTGGAGGTGTGCAGGTGCAGTGACCGGGGTGTGGTTGTTGCAGGCGCGTGCGCACGCTGTACGCCTGCCTGGGGGAGAGCGAGGGCGAGCTGTCCTTCGAGCCGAACCAGATCATCACGCACGTGACGCCGTCCGGCGAGCCCGGCTGGCTGCGCGGCATGCTCGACGGGCGCAGCGGTCTCGTGCCGGAGAACTACGTCGAGCCCCTGCCGTAGTCGCCGACCTCCACATTGTTACATGCAGTATTATGAAGCATTCCTGACCCTGCACATGGACTCGACCGATGTGCGGCTCGGCTCCACTAAACATATCGTCCACTTGGAACGGACACATTCTTACGTCTTTATTGTCTAAGTGAAATGGAGTTGTGCGCGATAGAGCGAGGGAGTGCGCGGCACACGGTACCGGCTGCGGAGATGAGCTGCTGCAGGACAGGAGCCGGGAGAGGTGGCCGCGACACGCCCCCGCCCGTACATTGTTAACTTTTTTTACGTATTTGTATATTTTGTACATTGTATATAAGATTTGTTGATATTTTAACTATTTATATTGCCTATACGTATGTTGTGAATTTTGTACCAAATATATTAGATCGTACGATAATATATTAAATACATTTTAAGTAACCATTACTAAAATATTCTTTTATTTTTGTAATAAAATAAAATCTTCTACCTTCGTCCGATTCCCAACAATTAAACATTTCCTTTAGTTAAATATAAACATAACGTAATCGTTATTCACAGAAACATACATTACAAAAACTGACAAACTACGCGCAAAAGAAAAATCTATTTTGGTCTCCAAGAGATAAAAATTTAGGGAAGAGTAAACTATCTTTGACAACATTGATCTACAAGAAAATCCTCTTTTAAGAAATTTCTTCATCAATATGATTCTTCAAGGTGGAGTGATTTTTTTTAGTGTAGCTTATATGTTGCAGCGAAACGGCACCTGGTATCTGAGTAATGGTAAGTTCAGAAATAATTGAAGATGACAGCACGTTCTGAAGACGTGTCAGTGAGCTGCTTGTGAAGTTACCACTGTTGCACCAGCTCGTTGCTGGCGCGATCAATCTGTTAGTGCTCTAAATCTAGTATCAAACGAAATGAAACAAAGTTTTTGATTTTTTATTTTTAATTCAATACCAATCCGATACAATAAGCGCGAAGGAACTACGGCCGCGGGGCGGCGGGGCGGCGGGGCGACGCGGCCCGCGGCTCAACAACTACTGTGTAAACATTAAACATTTAATACGCAAATAACATCATAAGCCACTTTAATTACGAATATTTATCGGCACCCAAGTAACGTAAGCACATTTACACGTCCGTTTCGATCTAGTTTACAAGATTATCTCCGCACGTCGCGGCTTCGCTCCGCTTCCTCGGCGCCGTGGGCGCGGCCGGAGCGCGCGGCCCGGCCCCGGCGGCGCCGCTACACGCGCGTCCGGCGGGGGACCACATTCCTCGAGTGGAGACTCGCGACTGCTGCCTCAGCGCCCGGGGGGTATTAGCTGCGCTCCAGCGCCGGCTCATCCTCCTCGCACACCAGCCGCCGCACGCGGTTGCAGTCCGCCAGCGCCGGCCGCGCCGCCAGCGGGCCCCCCGCGCCTCCCGCCCGCGGCCCGCCCCGCGCCGCGCCGCCGCCCTCGCCCCCCTCGCCCGCCAGCAGCTCCAGCTTGCGTGACTCCCCAGTGCGCACTATGCACAGCAGCGCCGCGTACTTGTCCTGCAGCGCGCGCTGCCGGGCGGCGTGCTCCTCGCCCGCGTGCCTCAGTGCTCGCCGCAGCTCCGCCAGCGCGGCGTCGCGCGCGCTCAGCGTCGTCTCCAGCTCGTGTGCGCGCGCGACCGCCGCCTCCGCGCGCGCCGCGTTCGCGTCCGCCTCGGCCTCGGCGCGGGCGAGCGCGGCGCGCAGCGCTCGCTCCTCGCTCGCGTTGCGCTCGGCCGCCGCTCCGCTCGTGACGCCGATGGCCGCTCGCGCCGCCTCGCTCAGCCGCGCCTCGCGCTCCGCGAGCACGAGCAGCTCGCGGCGCAGACGGCGCACGTGCTCGGCGCGCCGCTCGGCGGCTAGCGCGGTGCGCGCGAGCATCTCGACGTGTCGCGCCGCCTCGAAGGACTCCCCGCGGGTGCGCTGCAGCTCGGCGACGTCGAGCGCGCGCCGCTCCTCCGCCTCGTGCAGCGCGGCCTCGGCGCGCAGGCGGGCGGCGGTCTGGTCGGCGAGCGCGGCCTGCAGCTGGGCCTCGCGCTCGCCGGCGGCCGCGGCTGCGGCGGCGTGCGCGGGGAGGGCGGGGGTGTCGCGCAGACGCGCGCGCAGCTCGTCGCGCTCGAGGTGCGCGGCGCGCAGTTGGTCGCGCAGCGCGGCGTTCTGCAGTTCGAGGGCGCGCGCCTGGCGGCAGCGGCCGAGCAGGCGGCGGTTACGCTCGGCGTGGGCCTCGCGCCGCCATCGCTCGTGCAGCAGCTGGGCGTGTGCAAGGGCGAGCTGTTCTGCAAGCTCGCTGTCGGCGCGCGGCGGCCGGCCCGCGTATAGATCGGCCAGGTACTTGTCCAGCCTCTCACAGGGCGAGACCGTCTCCGGTGCGGTCTCCGCCTCCTAAAATGTCAAATTTTAAAGTGAGGTCTCGGGTAAGGTCGTTTGATTATTTTAATTTTTTTATCATTTGACATAGAATTACCCGTTTCCTCGCGTCGGCGGTCAGGCTGCGATAAAAGTCTCCAATAAGGAACTCGTACGGCGCGGGCCAGGTGTCGACGGTCTGTACGGCGACGGCGGCGGTGCGCGCGGCGGGGATGCGCGGCGAGCAGGAGGCGGCGCGGCGCGGTGGAGGAGCGGCGCGGCGGCGCGGGGC